ATAGTGATCCCGTAGTGAACCATAGTGAACCCAGAGTGAGCTCATAGTGATCCCATAGAGATCCCATAGTGATCCCATAGTGATCCCGTAGTGATCCCATAGTGATCCCATAGTGAACCAACAGTGAGCCCATAGTGAACCCATAGTGATCCCATAGTGATCCCATAGTGATCCCGTAGTGATCCCATAGTCAACTCGTAGTGATACCGTAGTGTACCCATAGTGATCCCATAGTAAGCCCATAGTGAGCCCATAGTGAACCCATAGTGATCCCATAGTGATCCCATAGTGATCCCATTGTGAACTCAAAGTGAGCCCATAGTGATCCCATAGTGAGCCCATAGTGAGCGCATAGTGAACTCATAGTAAGCTCATAGTGATCTATAATGAGCCCATAGTGAGCCGATAGTGATCCCGTAGTGATCCCATAGTGATCCAGTAGTGAATCCATAGTGAGCCCATAGTGAGCCCATAGTGGCCCATAGTGATACATAGTGAGCCCATAGTGAGCCCATAGTGATCCATAGTGAGCCCATAGTGAGCCCATAGTGAATCCATAGTGATTCCTTAGTGATCCCGTAGTGATTCCATAGTGATCCCATAGTCATCCCTAAGTGAATCCATAGTGAGCCCATTGTGAATCCATAGTGATCCCATAGTGATCCCGAAGTGAATCCATAGTGAGCCTATAGTGGCCCATAGTGATCCATAGTGAGCCCGTAGTGAGCCCATAGTGATCCCGTAGTGATCCCAATAGTGATCCCATAGTGATCCTGAAGTGAATCCATGGTGAGGCCATAGTTAATCAATAGAGATCCCATAGTGATCCTAAAGTGAATCCATAGTGAGCCCATAGTGAGCCCATAGTGGCCCATAGTGATCTATAGTGAGCCGGTAGTGATCCCATAGTGATCCCATTATGCTCCCGTAGTGATACCATAGTGTTCCCATAGTGATCCCGTAGTGAATCCATAGTGATCTCATAGTGATCCCATAGTGAGATCATAGTGATCCCATAGTGAACTCATAGTAAGCTCATAGTGATCTATAATGAGCCCATAGTGATCCCATAGTGATCCTGTAGTGAATCCATAGAGAGCCCATAGTGCGCCCATAGTGGCTCATAGTGATCCATAGTGATTCCATAGTGATACCGTAGTGATTCCGTAGTGATCCCATCGTCATTCCGATGTGAATCCATAGTGAGCCCATTGTGAATCCATAGTGATACCGTAGTGAATCCATAGTGATCCCGTAGTGATCCCATAGTGATCCCATTCTGATCCCGTAGCGATCCCATAGTGAGCGCATAGTGGCCAATAGTGATCCATAGTGAGCCCGAAGTAATCCCATAGTGATCCCATAGTGTTCCCATAGTGATCCCGTAGTGAACCCATAGTGAGCCCAGAGTGATAGTGAGCCCATAGTGAGCCCATAGTGAATCCATAGTGATCCCATAGTGAATCCATAGTGATTCCATAGTGACCCCATGGTGATCCCGTAGTGATCCCATAGTGATCCCGAAGTGAATCCATTGTGAGCCCATAGTGAATCCATAGTGATCCCGTAGTGATCCCATAGTGATCCCATAGTGATCCCGTAGTGAATCCATAGTTAATCATAGTGAATCCAATTATCCCACAGTGAATCCATAGTGATCCCATAGTGATCCCATAGTGATCCCGTAGTGAATCCATAGTGAACCAATAGTGAGCCAATAGTGAGCCAATAGTGAGTCCATAGTGGCCCCATAGTGAACCCATAGTGAGCGAATAGTGAACCCATAGTGAGCCCATAGTGAGTCCATAGTGAACCCATAGTGATCCCATAGTGATTCCATAGTGATCCCATAGTGATGAGGCCCAAGTGAATCCATAGTGAACCAATAGTGAGCCCAGTGAAGTCCATAGTGGCCCCATAGTGAATCTATAGTGAACCATACTGAATCCATAGTCATCCCGTAGTGATCCCGTAGTGAATCCATAGTGAGCCCATGGTGAGCCCATAGTGAATCCTTAGTGATCCCGTAGTGAATCCTTAGTGATCCCATAGTGAGCCCATAGTGATCCCATAGTGAACCCATAGTGATCCTATAGTGAACGCATAGTGAGCCCATAGTGATCCAATAGTGAGCCCATAGTGATCCTAGTGAAGTGAACCCACAGTGAGCCCATAGTGAACCCATAGTGAACCCATAGTGAGCCAATAGTGAGTCCATAGTGGGCCCATAGTGACCCCATAGTGAGCCCATAGTGAGCGAATAGTGAGTCCATAGTGAGCCAATAGTGAACCCATAGTGAACCCTTAGTGATCCCATAGTGAATCCTGAGTGATCCCATAGTGAACCCATAGTGATCCTATGATGAACCCATAGTGATCCAACAGTGAGCCAATAATGATCCAATAGTGAGCCCATAGTGATCCGATAGTGAACCCATAGTGAGCCAATAGTGAGCCCATAGTGATCAAATAGTGAGCCAACAGTGATCCCATAGTGAACCCACAGTGAGCCCATAGTGATCCCATAGTGATCCAATAGTGATCCCGTAGTGATCCCGTAGTGAGCCAATAGTGAGTCCATAGTGGGCCCATAGTGAACCCATAGTGAGCCAATAGTGAGTCCATAGTGAACCAATGGTTAGCCCATAGTGAATCCATAGTGAGCCCATAGTGAACCAATAGTTAGCCAATAGTGAGTCCACAGTGGGACGATAGTGAATCCATTGTGAACCCATAGTGAGCCAATAGTGAACCCAAAGTGGGCCCATAGTGAGCCCATGGTGATCCCGTAGTGAGCCCATAGTGAGCCCATAGTGAGCACATAGTGAACCCACAGTGAGCCCACAGTGAGCCCACAGTGAGCCCACAGTGAGCCCACAGTGAACCCACAGTGAGCCCATAGTGAGCCCACACAGTGAGCCCACAGTGAGCCCATAGTGAACCCACAGTGAGCCCATAGTGAGCCCACAGTGAGCCCACAGTGAGCCCACAGTGAGCCCACAGTGAGCCCATAGTGAGCCCATAGTGAGCCCATAGTGAGCCAATAGTGAACCCATAGTGAGCCAATAGTGAACCCATAGTGGGCTCATAGTGAGCCCATAGTGAGCCCATAGTGAGCCCATAGTGAGTCCATAGTGATCCCATAGTGAACCCATAGTGAGCCAATAGTGAGTCCAAAGTGGGCCCATAGTTAACCCATAGTGAGCCCATAGTGAGCCCATAGTGAACCCATATTGAACCAATAGTGAGCCCATAGTGAGCCCATAGTGAGCCCATAGTGAGCCCATAGTGATCCCATAGTGAGCCCACAGTGAGCCCATAGTGAGCCCATAGTGACCATAGTGAGCCCATAGTGAGCCCATAGTGAGCCCATAGTGATCCCATAGTGAGCCCATAGTGAGCCCATAGTGAGCCCATAGTGATCCCATAGTGAGCCCATAGTGATCACAATAGTGATCCCATAGTGAGCCCATAGTGAGCCCATAGTGAACCCATAGTGAGCCCATAGTGAACCCATAGTGAGCCCATAGTGAGCCAATAGTGAGTCCATAGTGGGCCCATAGTGAACCCATAGTGAGCACATAGTGATCACATAGTGAACCCATAGTGAGCAAATAGTGAGCAAATAGTGATCCCATAGTGATCCCATAGTGATCCCATAGTGAGCCTACAGTGAGCCCATAGTGAACCCACAGTGAGCCCATAGTGAGCCCATAGTGATCCCTAGTGATCCCATAGTGATCCGTTAGTGATCCCGTAGTGATCTCATAGTGATCCCGTAGTGATCCCATAGTGAACCCATAGTGAGCCAATAGTGAGCCCATAGTGAGCCCATAGTGAACCCATAGTGAGCCCATAGTGATCCCATAGTGAACCCATAGTGAGCCCATAGTGAGCCCATAGTGAGCCTATGGTGAGCCCATAGTGAGCCCATAGTGAGCCCATAGTGAACCCACAGTGAGCCCATATAGTGAGCCCATAGTGAACCCATAGTGAGCCCATGAGCCCATAGTGGAACCCATAGTGAACCCAATAGTGAGCCCATAGTGATCACATAGTGAACCCATAGTGAGCAAATAGTGAGCAAATAGTGAGCCCATAGTGATCCCATAGTGAGCCTACAGTGAGCCGATATAGAACCCACAGTGAGCCCATAGTGAGCCCATAGTGAGCCCTAGTGATCCCATAGTGATCCGTTAGTGATCCCGTAGTGATCCCATAGTGATCCCATAGTGATCCCATAGTGATCCCATAGTGATCCCGTAGTGATCCCATAGTGATCCCATAGTGAACCATAGTGATCCCATAGTGAACCCATAGTGAGCCAGTAGTGATCCCATAGTGAACCCACAGTGAGCCCATAGTGAACCCATAGTGAGCCCATAGTGATCCCACAGTGAGCCTGTCACAAACACATGCAATTCAAGTGATCTGCCCAGGTGAACAAAGTAGTGAACACATGGTATAAGTCAAATTACAGAATTTAATCTCATTTCAGCTAGTGATGCGTCAAATTTGAGTGAGTGAGTTAATATTTAACGTCACATCGGCAATATCTCAGCCATATCGTGACGAAAACAATTATACAATAAAAAAGAAAACATTTTGGAGAGTAAAACCTGTCGACGATGGAAAGTAAAAACACTAGAGTATCACAGATATGAACATAAAACTAGCATGTAAAACTAAAAAAAAATAATTTAAGAAGACAATACACTATAAAACACGGACCCTAGCTGGATTTACACCATCTCTTCAGCCGCTGCGACGGTAGGAAGATTAAGCCAAAATTAAAATCACAAAAATACTACGATTAAAAAGTATGGTTGAGCGAAATTGACTTGGAACGTTTTTGGGACTTACGTATGCGTCAAATTTGAAATGTACTATAAATGTCTACAATTGAATGTTGTAGCCCTGATCAAAAACCTCTGGGGAAATCATTATGTAAAGTACAATGCATCAATCAAAGTTTGATGATAAATATAAATGTTACTTACTTTTTCTCGACTTCCAAGACAGGAAGCGCCGAATCGATGTTACCCATGATACAACTGTCTCGTGTGCTGGGAATACAAACGGTGTAATGTACATACACAATATGCATCTACTGTAGATATCTGCGGATATATTTTCAGTTCATATCGCGGAAAGTATACTTATACATACCTCTGGATATATTGTTCTGAACATATCACAAAGTGAATGAAGAAAATAATCTAATTACAATTCATATCATACAATATATTTTCCACACACACCATAAGATATATTTTTAACGTGACTGATATACTTTACATAGTTCATAAGAGATATACTTTGGATGTCCTATGACTGATATCATTTACAATACCTATGACCGATATCCTTTACAATACCTTTGACTGATATCCTTTACAGTACCTATGACTGATATTCTTTACAATACCTATGACTGATATCCTTTACAATACCTATGACTGATATCCTTTACACTACCTATGACTGATATCCTTTACAATACCTTTGACTAATATCCTTTACAACACCTATGACTGATATCCTTTACAATACCTATGACTGATATCCTTTACACATTCTATGAATGATAGCTTACACATGCTATGACATAAGATCTATATATCCTGTGACATATATACTTTACATATTGTACAAGTCATATACTTTACATATTGTACAAGTGATATACTTTACATATTGCACAAGTGATATACTTTACATTTCTTACAAGTGAAATGTTTTACATATCCTATAACCGATATACTTTACATATTACGGAACTTTACATATAACAGTGGTGATTGCAACTTCTAAATGCAATGTGCTGACAATTGTTTAATAAACACATCGCATAATATTAATTGTCTCCTTATATACTCAAAAATAGAACATCGAGGACCTCCACAACCTCAATCATTAGGAATGTAGTGAGACAAAATTTACACTCACCCACCAGCCGCCAATGCGCAGTACTTCAGCCAGACACTGAACACAGTCTCAGCAGGTCTGTCTCACCTGGCCTGTACGTGCACGCAGTTGTATAATAGCTTTCATACGACATTACTGGAATTTGACACTGTTGTGTAACGGGTGGACGTGTTTTGTTGAGCTGGAAGGGGAATACGGGACGTAATCTGTCGTCAATACCCCCGTGAAGAATTCCGATATCGATCTTACCCACAAATCCCTGGCCTTACCCACAAATCCCTGGCGTGTCGCCAGTGACATTATCTTTAAGTCAGAATTGTGAACATATACAGTGCATGTTGGATCAACATTTCAGTAATTGAAACGAAATTCAAAAATGTATCCAAAAGTCAAAGCAAAACAAAACAAGACAAAATCGAACAGAAGAACAAGACCAAAGTATTCACAGTACAATAATAAGGAAAGACAAGTACAAATAATGGACACACATACATATGTTCATGCTCTGGTCTGATGAGTCACATGTCCGACCTTTAACCTCTGTCGACTATTGACACGCGTTCCCTGGCAACCATCCCGGACCTTTAAACCCTCACGGTAGAGGGTATTTTGTAAGTAGGAGTCTCTGTATGTCAACGTAATGTTATAATGAATAAACAATCTACGACGCTTTATTACCAGGGAGAGGACGCGGCTGTTCCTGTCAACAGCACACAACTGCAACCCCAGGCATGCCACGACCTCGTCTGCAGTTCACTTCGTCTACAATGTTATCGAACAAAGTACTGCACCGGTGATTAGAGGGTCGATAAGCTAACCCCTCCACACAAACAGTAGACCAGCTTGTGTAGAATATGAGAAAGTGTGTGAGTGTGTGAGTGAGCGGGTTTAGTTTTAGTTTCGAGTCTGGACCAGACAATCCAGTGATCAACAGCATGAGCATCGATCTACGCAGTTGGCATACGATGACATGTGTCAACCAAGTCAGCGAGCATGACCGCCCGTTCCTGTCAGTCGCCTCTCACGACAAACATGGGTTACTGAAGATCAATTCTAACCCGGATCTTCAAGGGTAAATATGAGAAAGACGAAAGAAAGACGAAAGAGAAAGTTATTCTTAAACACTGGAGTTCTGTAACTGCAGCGGCAAACACTTATTATACAATTATTTTTATTTTATTTTATTTATGAAAATAACAGTTATGATATATAAAGCACTACATCTAATATTGCAGCAGGTGAATAATATGTATAGTTCAGCCAAGTTTTCACTAAATGTCCTGCCACATCTTGGATTTCCAAAGTAGACTTCAAGACTCCCTCTAAGTGTTCTGTCAGCCTCTGACAACCTATGGTCAATTTCCCAGTACGCATCCATCTACGCATTTAGTTTTTGGTGGTACATACTTCACTGATCCAAGAGGATGTTGGTGAAGGGAATTGCCTGTGAGATGTCCGGCGTGCAGTCCATGGCATCCACCCACGTATCTTGAACTTGGTTGAGAGGAAGGAATGACAAAGTAGCAGGAGGCTGGTTGGCTGACTACGATGCTGTCCTTGTAAACGTCACCGTATCTAGATTCTGTACCTTCTTCTAGATGACCTGCGTAAAATGAAAGTAGCAGCCTCGACATAGGACATATATCATTAACGCCAGTGCCAGTTACAGTGTGTCTGAATGACCTGTGGGTGGAGTCGCCTCTGTCAACACAGGATTCCGTCTCTAAAACCACCTCGCTTAGGTTTCATGGCGTTGATTAGGAGGAAGGCAGAATGTCAACTGCGTCACCTTGCATGCTGTAATGCCATGCATTACGTACATATGGTCCCAGAGTAGAAGACAGGAATAAAGAGTTACAGCCATGTAAAGTTCCTCCAACTGAAGCATGTGGCGAACCAGAAACAGCTTGTCATCGACACAGTCAGCCATGCAGAGGAAGCGTTGACCACGTGTAGTGTTGTTCCACATATCGGGCAGATCAACCTGTGACAAGGACTACGACAGGTGTAGTTTTCCAACGACGACGATATAGGATGATTTTGATGATCGGGAAGGATTGGACTATCATTTATTTCTTCAGTGTATATACAACATGTTTGGGATTACAATTTCTCAATGACGTCCAGATTTTAGAACAACTTTAGGTTGAGCCATCCTGGATTCGGATCCACACTCCAAAGGAAATCACATTATCGTCAGTATTAAAAGAGAGCGATCTAACCCACTCAGCCACCCCTATATGAAAGTCTGACAACTGTGCTCCCCTCTTACAATCAATGTACATGGCCCGGACGGCAGTTGTTCTCGCATGGACACGCTCACGGGCAGGTGGGCAGGTGGGCAGGGCAGGTGCCTCGCCTTGCTTCCTGGTCTTGTGTGATGTAATGTTTCTGTTATCAGTACATTCTGTATCTACACACCTCCAGGGCACGGATGTCAGATGCTGATTATTTAGTCAGATGCTTTACTTAGTATAAGCCAGTATGAAAGATTTGGCTTCCTCCACATTGGAACGTAACATACTCTATGTCCCACTCTTACAGATATAAACAGCTACACATCCTCAGTTGTAGTAAGTTAATAACAACACATCTCGTAATATCAGAGCCTGAAGCATGTTTCAGACATACTTTCTATACTAATATATCATATGACAGACTACTCAGGAGGAGGGATAGCTGGGCTTCTTGATCGTTGTTCTTGTCAAGGCCATAGCGACTTCCTTACTGACAGTTGTATAGGCGGGGTGACAACATCTCTACATTATGTAAGCTGACCGAACCGATGTGAAATACTCTTTCCTGTCTTCATTTGTGTCAGATGTGTTCTCATGCTTCAGTTCAACATCTGCAAACGCCTTGTGACGAGAGCAGGATGCGCTAACTCCTCAGCGAACACCCGGTGTCCCTCCAACTGCAAGCGTTACACAAAGTCGGAATCCTTGTGTATCTGTGTCTGTGTATGGGTCTGTGTCTGCACCTGTGTTTCTGTGTCTGTTTCTGTGCTGAGGCTTCCGAGGGTTAGAGGAAGGGTTTAGCTGCTTCTGTTTGTATAGATGTACTCTCTGCCAGAAGTATTGTGTCCTTTCACACTTTCCGTTTACAATTATACACTCCTGCTCCGTACTGTAGTGAAGTAAACTGGACGTATACTGCACCATGGCCGTTTACCGCTGGTACAAACATAGCCCCGTTATTTCACTCCTGTCCCCGGTGTCACGGAAGTAGCCGAGTGTACACGAGCGATTCTAGGCACTGGTTGTTTACGTACGCTTCTATCGATTTGGCTGACGGCTTGGTGAGTGAAGGGAGGCTATTCCCTACATTTACGCCTCCGAACGGACGTCCCGGTGGGTGAGTGGGTCAGGTCGCACACTTCGGGTGTTGGCGATTAAGTATGAGTCTACCTCCTCAGCGAACACCCGGTGTCCCTCCAACTGCAAGCGTTACACAAAGTCGGAATCCTTGTGTATCTGTGTCTGTGTATGGGTCTGTGTCTGCACCTGTGTTTCTGTGTCTGTTTCTGTGCTGAGGCTTCCGAGGGTTAGAGGAAGGGTTTAGCTGCTTCTGTTTGTATAGATGTACTCTCTGCCAGAAGTATTGTGTCCTTTCACACTTTCCGTTTACAATTATACACTCCTGCTCCGTACTGTAGTGAAGTAAACTGGACGTATACTGCACCATGGCCGTTTACCGCTGGTACAAACATAGCCCCGTTATTTCACTCCTGTCCCCGGTGTCACGGAAGTAGCCGAGTGTACACGAGCGATTCTAGGCACTGGTTGTTTACGTACGCTTCTATCGATTTGGCTGACGGCTTGGTGAGTGAAGGGAGGCTATTCCCTACATTTACGCCTCCGAACGGACGTCCCGGTGGGTGAGTGGGTCAGGTCGCACACTTCGGGTGTTGGCGATTAAGTATGAGTCTACCCAAGTAAGTTCTAGAATCTCGTCTTTCCTGAAAAAGTGTAAACCTACACAATATGCACGTTCCGTCGCGTGTCCTGTTGTCCATCCATACTTTGCCAGGTTATGGTTGAAGGTTTTTGCCCCTTCAAGTAGAATGTTTGAACCAACAACTGAACCTCACAACACCAATATCCCTTTCTGGCCCCTTCCTGCACCAATAGTTTCACTGAAGCCACAGCAAGACGACACGGGATTTGTAGAACTCTGTACGTTGTGTGTACGGTGTATTCAGACATGTAACAGGTCGGAGGTTGTTAGGATCAGCTAGGCCACCTTTAATTGGCGGAAGTACTGGTTGGCCTTTGCCCTACCACTACACGTCTCCTGCAGCCACGAAGGAATTGGAACAGTACAGTGATGGTATTGGACGTACGGGATGAACTGTTACCGGTTTCAGGTCCTGTTCGGGTATTAGGGTTGAACGTTTTAATCACAATCAGGTGTAAATAAACACAACAATGGTCAATACACTATCACTGTACTCGTCTACCCATGGTTCCTCGAGGTGGTACTTCCAAAACATTTCACAGGAATACTTTCCTCAACTACTTCAACAGTTTGTGTATGTGTGGTGCAATTCCGTGTGATGTGTGTGTGTGTGGTTTCAATGTGATGTGTGTATGTGGTGTGTGTGTGTGTGGGGGGGGGGGGGCAGTGTGTGGCATTTTTGGTGGGCCATTTTCTTTTATCACGTCACATAGGTGTGACCTTTGTGTGACCTAATCGATTGTTGAACCCTTAAGCCCCACCCTCCTTTGGGAGTCTCCTTTCCGGCCCAGGTGTGTGTGACCTTCAGGTTGACCTTAGTGGTCTGTGATTATTATTCAATTATTTTATGAGTGGTATGAGTTTGCCTACTCGAGTGTTCACACAGCAAAATCTTTTTTCATCGTAGAATTAATATCACACTATGAGGGGGTATTTAGCTGCTATTTATTAGGTCAAATGCTAAATCATTTCATCACTGTAAAACCACTTGACACCCTACTTGAGATATTCAGTGACCATCAGTCCTCAACTGCTTACTATTTCCTGTATTTAATTCCGGTCAGACACATTATCTCCATACATAACGGAAGCTGACCACTTGTGACTATACATTCATTGTAGGCTGTGCGCCATCACGCTGAAAATTATCAACAACCATTTCATGTACACATGATTACAGTCTGACCTTTAAATTACAAAAAAACAATTTCTGGTCAACTTGAACCGGCTAACT